TATAAATATTACGATTATTAAATAACAGAAATAAATCAAATATTAACAGTCTTTGTAACAGAAGATATCAGCTCGTCCCATACGTAATGCAAATTTTCTAACAGGGTAACGATAAAGCCATGAGAATAGGTTAAGCATGACGGTCACAAAGTTTGAGATCACTATGCGTTGAAAGTTACAAAGAAAATTTGCAGAAAACGTTGGCAACTTTAAGAATTTTTTATTATTAAAATCAATCGAAACGAGATAAATTTGAAATCTATAAACAATCAGTAGCAGATTCAATATTGATGTAAATCGGCAGGTAGTTCAAAACTTTTGGCTTTTAATATACATGTCCAAGTTAAATTTGAAAGATTGTAATTCTTCAGCGAAGAGGTTTTTTTTTATTATTAAAACACAATTCATTTTTTAATTGGATCGTGATAAGAGGTGGACAGTGGTTAAATTCAGGAGAATCCTCTATATCACAAACAAACCTAAACTCGCCTTTTCCAAAAAAATTTAACCGATCGTTTGGTGATCCTAATGATCCTAATCCTCTGAGCTATTAGTGTCGAACAGAACGATTGCTACAGAAGAGGAATCTTCTTTTATTGAAATGCAAAAAATTTCTGCAAAAATTGGAGGAATCTGGTTGGGGAAGAATGATTCATAACTACAGTACAAGCATTACATTTTCAGATAATTACATTTAAACGACTAACATCAGTAATATCATAAGTGTCCTGGATCATATCTTAAATAAAATAAAGAAATCTTTATCACTGAAATTTGTAATTGAAAAATTAAGGAAAATATATAGAAAATTTAATTATTTTAATTACGTTTTTGCACTTCATCTTCTACAAACATTAAAGAAAATTCGTATTACTCATGGGATGAATTGATACAATAACTATACAGAAACGTGTATTATATCAAGCCACGCATTGCTCAGAGATTATCGTTGTCCACAGCATTCTCTCAAGGTTATAATTAAAAGTACGTCGACATACATATACGTACATAAATCATGCTTATAAATTTAGTATAATAATATAGATAATAATTGTGTAAGTAAGGCTGATTAAACGCACTCCTTTTCCCATTCGAATCTGACTCAATTTCTCTCTCCCCATTTTATTACCATAACAAACGACACTAATATCTCATCTTGATTTTCTCTATCCACGATCAAAATATGTTCTACAGTACGTATACTGCGTGGTACGAACAAAATGAATAATTGATCGAGAATAAACGAAGTCGTGTATAAAAGTTCATAAAATGGAGAGAAAGTTTAGCTGTTCAATGTTCTCTATTTGACAATCTTTTGCGATGATGTGTGTATGGGACTAGGTATTCAATGGTTCTTTCTAGTTTTAGAACGTGGCAGTAGATTATTATACCCGATAGTTCGTCGCAAAGACGAAGTAACTCGATCGATTCGAATCTTTTCACAAGTATTGTTATTATTTTACGAATACAAAACGAGGAACAAGGAAATATTTTTTTTTTTAAAATTTGATGCTAAGAAAAGAAGATACTTTTCTCAGAAAATGTTATTCGACGCTAAGAAAAGAAAACGTTTTCCTTAATGAACGGTATTTGACGCTAAAAGAAGAAGATATTATTAAAAAATTATCTAATTGATGCTCTTAGAAAATATTCTCAAAAAAAAAAAAAAAAATGTTCACCACCGTTTCTTCTAATCGCAACTTCTTTCGTTTACAAAAATACGAAGGGACTATGAAGAATATAAAAAGAAGAGAATACGAAGGAACAGAGAAATCCTTGATTTTTATACGTTTTTTCAAGCATTTGATGTAAATTAATACGAAAATTGAAGTACTTCAAAATGTTTAACAAAATTTGTTCACACTGTCGAGTTATTACCGTCATTGCTTCAAAGTATAAGGGTAGTTTATTGAGTTTATCGATACACCCTAAAATTATGTACTCCCTTAGACTTTACGGTGTATTCCTGATAATGGATATCATAAGATGACGTAAGTCTAGTCCCGCAAAATTTTTCGCATGAAATACGCCCCTCCATATTATTGGAAGCTAACTATATAACTATGTATATGCAGTATACCCGTTGCGTATTTCCTTTCCTCTCCGTTTTTCACCTTCGTTTCCTTCGTAATTGGAAATTACGCGTTTCCTTTCACAAAATCGAAATCGCGTCTCTGTTTTAAAGCGATAAACGTGCGGTTTTTGCTTACAAAGTGGGGAGTGAATGTTAAAAAAATGTGTTTAACTATTAAAATCTATTCGATGATTTATAAATACTAAAAAAGTTGCTATCCTTATTACAAATCGTATTTTGTAGTTCGGAGTTATTCTGTTCCTTTCTTTTTTGTTTTTTTGTTCTTTTTTCTTTATCTCGCTTTTTCTTACGATAGAAACGAGCCAGTCTGAAGTTTACCTTCCTCGCAATTAAACGTTACGGATATCTAACGAGTATGAACATTTGTGCCCCATTATGTTATTCGAATGATTTTAGGAAAAGAATTCCTTCGGGCTTTGCTTCTTTCTCTTTCAAATGTCTACCATGAGAAATCGTTGCTAGAACTGTGAGAGTTTCAATTTTGCTAATAATTTTACTCCTTTTTGAAATTTTGTTAGCTATAACGATGAAGCAAACATTATACAACTACTCTAAGTGTCTTTGCTATTTAATACATTTCGAGAGTAATGGCTTGTGCATTCAAATTTTAGCAGCCTTCTTGAAAATTGTTTCTTAGCAATCAGTGACAATTATTTGTAAAATGTAATTGTTGAAATAGGATTTTAACTGTTTGTATTTGGTTGAATATTTGGTGAAGATTTTTTAGTAATGATAATTAACAGCATTCACTTACGATTCGAGAATTTTTTTATTGAAACAACTGTGTTTTATCGGTGCTTGACGATATAACGAGAAAAGAGTATTGCAATAATTCTCACAACGCTAGTTACGATATTGTCAGCAGTGTTTTGACTTCAGACGGAACAATGATGAGGTAAGAAAACGACGAAATCTCGGGAAGGTAGAGAAAGGGGGGTTATGATTCCGTTTTGATTTTTCGAATTCGGAGAAATTCGGTCCCTCTGAGGCCCTCGAGAAAAGACGATTTTCCTGATTCGAGGACAAGGAATTTTATCGTCCATTTCGATTGAACATTCAAAACTGATTACGACTCGTTATGAATGCTTTTATTTCTGGTCGAAAGATGTTCACGTTCGTAATTTTTATGCATTCAATTTGCGGTATTTTGAAAAAAGTACAAGAAACTGAAAATGATGAGACTAAATTTGTTTGGTTAAATCATTCTATGACGGTGGATAAAAGTTTCAGTGCCTTTTTTACGGGTAAAGTTTTTTTTGTTAAATAATAAGGAAACATAATTCATTGAAATGATTTTTGAAATTTCGATAAAGGAAGTGTATCAATAAAACTTGCCTATATTATCCTTGTATTTCTTATGTGAAAGCAGTGTATGGGAGATAATGACCGGAAATGAAAGCAGTGATGCAGATGGTGGCTTTAGTTGGTCCCGAACATGAGTTAGTACGGGTTTGTGTACAAATCTTAATCCGTTATTAATTGAAATATCTAAACTATAGGACAAATATATTCCGCGAGTTTTTTTTAATCGATACGTTCAATTTCTTTTGACAATTGCAAGTAGTCTAGTTTTTTTTTCTTTTCATTCTATGTAACTATGCCCTCTACGATAATTGTGAAAATATTTCGTATGAATGTTCTTTATGTAAACAATTAAGAAAAAGGAAAGAAGAGAGTATAAGTGAAAATGAACAACGATTTCTGCACAAACCCATCCTAAATGTTGCACATGGAATCGTGTCGATCGTTGCATTACGGATCTCAGCTCATGGCAACACTGCGCGTGTCGAACATAATATAACATCTCTCCCTCTCTTACTTACCTCTTTCTCTCTTTTTCTCTCATTCTTTCTCGCTCTCGTTCTCTCTTTCTCTCTTTCTCCCTCATTCTCTCTGTCAATCGTCCTTTCTCTTTCATTCTCTCATATAGCATTTTAAATATTACGAGTTACCTATTAACCTATACGGCCCTACGATATAAGGATGAATGTTCCTTTGGCAGTTTATTTACATGCGAATTGAGCCACGGCGCCGAAAATATCACGGCAACGAATTTCGATGTCAAGCAACCTGTGAAGTACGGAACATTTTAAAAAGTTGTGACACGATAAAATTTACGAAATTTTTTCGTGCTGCAGAGGAATACTTTTGAAAATGCTTCGTCTTGGATGGAGAGTGTCGTTGTTGAGGATTAGTGAGTCTATCTTTTCAAATTTTTTTTATAAATCGAGTAGGGTTGGCCTTATAAATAGAACGAGTACAAGAGGGCGTGAAATGTTTCAGCCTAGCGTGTCCTTGTCTTCTATGTATCCGTTTTGAAAGTATTTATAATTATCTTGATTTTTAAATATTTAAACGTTCGAAATTTTTAAGTTAGAAAATTTTAGTAAATAAAATAAAGGGCTAAACACTTTTGCTATGAAAATGTTACCTGTTTTACTTCATTATAAAATTCTATAGAAACGAAAAATAGCAATCTGTATTACTGTTTTTTAAAATAAATATTTAGGATCACTTTTGGGAGAATATTTATTAGGACTTGTTAATTGCACTATATATAATTTCATAATAGTTAATATCAGTAATGGGTATTATGTTTTGTATTATCCCACTTCAGTTTAAATCAAATGTTTAATAATGCTATCAAAGTGGTATATTTTTATAGAGTAAGAAATGTTATAATAATATACTATTAGCAGAAATAGTATAATATTGTAACAGTATTATAACAGTGCAGTATAAATGTATGTACCTATCATGAGGTTCTCCAAGATTTTAAAACTTGTATAGCATTACAAGTGTATTCATGTTTATCATTTCTTAAACTACTAATTTCAACAAAACAATACTCTCCATATACCAACATAATCCATAGCTCAATCGCAGTTACCTTAACCATGTATATTTACAGAAATAGTACGATCATGTAATTGAGATATCTTGCGCTGCTAGTTCCATTCAGCTTTGTACCCCCATTTTCCTCATCATTTTCACTGGCAGTGTCTCCCTTTGCCTCAACAATAGTATCTAGTCGTTCCATTGTACTTCTCTGGTGATGATGATTACTTGATAAGTCACTTTCAGGTGTTTCAACTGAGTCTACATCAATCATGCGATCGTTAACTTGTATTTTTACTATAGCATCTACTGGGTACTTTCCTTCATCAGTGGATGATGTTGCTCCCCTTTGCGACCCTATTCTACTAGATAGTATTCTCTCATTTTTTTCACAATGGGGGCAATTTTGACCATTTGATGAAGCTTTGTCACTTTGACATCGGAAGCATATTAGATCACCTTCGCTAGAAAAATCACAATGTTCACATTGAACAATGTGACCATTTCCATGGCAAAGATCACAGACAGGACTGTCATCATCGTCCTCCAGATCCATGTCTTTATAGTCCTTTCGATCACGTTCTTGTTCATACTTTTTTGACCAGCCCCTTCGTGCTTGATAGTCCTGATCATGATGTAATGATCTAGGTGAAGAAGATTGACCACTACATTCTGGATCATAGTATAGTGACCGTGGAGAAGTTATACGAATTGGGCTCCTATATATGCCAGAAGTTCCTGGATCCTGAAGTCGATCGTCAAAACGTTCTTCAACATATCTACTAGAATAAGAACCAGGTGTTTGTGGTCTGTAAGTGCAGGTACGAGACTTCTGATCACATTCACTGCATAGCAATAAGTTTGATTTACTACCAGGTTGGGAAGCATAACCATTGCAAGTGCCATAATATTTCTCATCTTCGTCACTTTCAAAGAAATGCTGACTGAGGCTACCAATTGATTTTGTATCACTAGATCTACCAGAGATTCTGGCTTCTTCAAGTTCTTCACGATCATCTGTTATGTACCTTTAACACGATTTACTTATATTCATGAAATAATCATTAAAGTCAAATAATATAGGTTAAACTAAAAATTTAAAACGAGTGTTCTCAAATGTTTCCTTCAGGATTTAAAACTGTGTATTTATCTGGTAAGGTATAGTACTCTACCTGTCATCAGTAGCGTCAGCCAAATAGTGTCGTATTCGTGCCAGTTTTGTTTTGCCGCGCTCTCGCGGCTTTGTTTCTTGTTAAATGATGCTTTCTCGATTTCGTTCGTTGTTGTCCTCTAAGCTGGAAGTCGAGCTAGCACCGCAAATATGCATCTGAATCTCGTCCAAACGGTTCTGCACTTCCCGTTCTTGTTTAATCACTTTGGCACTCAGTGTCGCGTTGTCAGACTCCAAAGAAATTAAACGTTCCCGAATATGTATAATTTCGGCCAATAATGCTTCACTGGCGCCTAAAAGTGGTGTCGCACCTTCGCTGACTAATTGTGTCATGCTATTACAAGTCATGCCTAGAAGAAGTAACACATTTCATATTAGTCGTGAACTAATTAACAGAAATATTAACAATCATTTTATTACGTAACAGGAATGCAGAATTTATGCAAAGTGTACTGTATGATAGATATTTATAAAAATTATGCACTCGTGTTTGTCTCGTGCGACGACTTCATGCGTTAAAAATATCCGGAAATATTTAACGATAAAAAAAACTCGAGTTAGCGACATGAATATGTTAAGTGTGCATGAAATATGTAAGAATTTATTATTTCACTTCCTTACCTATGTTTTTGCAAACTGTGTATCATAAGTGTTATATAAAAGGTGAAATTCATGGTAAAATTGTTGACAAGTGTATCTTGATCAATTATTTTTTCAATAATTATTACTTCTATTTGAAATAAGTAGTAATTGATTAATCTTCAAAGGGCACAAGTCGAAAAACTCTACCAAAACTATTATACAAAATATCTAATGTCATTTATTGCATAAAAATAAAACTGATCATTACAAGAAATAATTACTGTAAAAACATTTTAATATTGTTTATTCAATCATTTCTGTCAATTAGCTGTAACTGAGTTACCAAATTCAATGTATTTATTTGAGTTTCAATATATTAAAAAATTAACAAATCGTGGAAAGAATTATTTTTTAATGAAACATAAAGTTTACATCAATTTTCCTCACAAACTACTTCGAATTACAATAGTTCAGCCCCGAGTTTACACTCGCTGTCCAGCCTAAATATTGATTTTTTATTCCTCGTGGAGACATTACTCCCATATTTTCCCATAGACTCCCATTACTTTCCAATTAATAAAATCAAATTAAAGAATAACTTTCAAAATCTCAGACTGTGTTCAAAACTGAGGCTCTCCCTTAAGAAAACACGTCCCGATTTTCAATCTCATTATACACAAAAATAACCACGTCCTTTCTCTCTCTCTCTCTCAATTCCATCCTACCATATTCGATTAACCAACCGTTGAATCAAAAGGATATTCATGCATCAGTCATGAAAAATTTCCATTTCTCCACCGGAGCAGAAGAGTGACTTTAACATCCCCCTAAATCACGAAGGAGAATGTGAAGGTCCGCGCGAGAGAGAGAGATAGAGAGAGTTAAGGAAGAAAATCTGGGTGCAAGGATTGAGGAGAGAGAGTTAAGGAAGAAAATCTGGGTGGGAGAATTGAGGAGAGAGAGTTAAGGAAGAAAATCTGGGTGGAAGAATTGAGGAGAGAGAAAGAGAGTTAAGGAAGAAAATCTGGGTGGAGAAATTGAGAAGGAGGAGATTTACACGGTGGTATATTTCCAGTTGGTGTGGCGCTCGAGGAGTTGAAATACTTGCCAGAGTGGGTAGATTGTCTGCCGGTGGAGGGTTGCGTGGTAGCGGATTGTGGTGCCCTGGCGGTCTGATCCTCGCTGCTGTGGCCACTGCTCGTGGCACTCATCGGACTATCCATGCTCCTTGCGCCGTTGTTCACGTTGACGTTGTTCCCGGCGCTGGCAAAACCGCGCGACGTCACCGGGCTCGGACTGGGAGAGAACAACGAGTGTCCAGCCGAGTACGCCTGAGTGGATTTTGTGTTTACGGGAGAGATACACGTGTTCTCCAGCGGTATACGACCCCGTGACTCCACGAGTCCTGGCGTGCTCTGACATCGTCCCATTGTGCCTGAAAGTTCGTATCGCGTGTATAGAATGCGGCACCGAGGCAGAATTACAATTTCTACATGGGAAAAGATTTTTGTGTCGAGTCTGATTCTACGTAGGACCGCGGAAGGTTAAATCTCTTTCCGCCGCTATTGGAGCCTATAGGCGCTTTGAAAATTTCTTCGCATTGTGCTGTTGGAGCCTTTTGGCACACTTCCAGGCTAATTTAACCCTTAATTTTTATCCTCTGCACACTCTACCCACGTTAATTCGATAAAACAAATTTTCAAATGTATAACGGGTAAAGAAGAAAATTTTGCGACCTTTGTGGAACGTCTGAATCCGCCACGCGCGTTGTGTACTGAAATTTGGCGCAGCGATAGGGTTGAGGGAACGTAAACTTGATAACAGCGAAAGTTATTTAAAAGAATGATAACAAGGCTCGAAGATTTTTACTAAAACTACACACGTGGAAATTTTCTAGCAAACTAATCCTTCTAATTTCTCAAAAAAAGAAACTCAAGTCGTTTGGTCCAATTTTAAAAAAATTGTTCTGTTTCAAAGGATGTGCCATTACTTTTTCACCCACTGTATGTACGTACGACCTTGATTTTCAGTGAAATAGACGAATGGTGTTTATTAGGTTGTTGCAGATTTTAAACGAGTTCGAGGTATCAATGAAACTTCTTCCACGTCCGTAGTTTTGGTAAAAAATGATATTTGTTAACCCTAGAACGGTCTTCGGGTCTTTTCTGACCCGTCGCCTTTTTATTCCTTTCTAAAAATTTTTTAATTAATAATTTTAATTTTTTCTAAACGTTTGCTGTTATCAAGTTTATGTTCCCTCAACCCTTTGCTGTCCTAAGTCGAATCACTCGATACAGGAATTTTTGCACCTTCAGATATCGTACAATGATAAATTATAAATTACAAACGACAATAATTGAAAAACTTAATATTCTATAGCTAATATTACGTCGAAATATCGAAGTAAACGCAAAATTACACGGTACTGCCCAATAGTGACCAAACGAGTGCGAACTAACTGAACTATTCACGCCGCAAAGGGTTAACGTTACATCGAAAGTTGATTATCTAGGTTCGTTTCTAAAGAAAAATGTTCGAGAACATCCGACCGAAGTATCGTGTTTTATTTATTCGTAACGTTCCACTGAAAAGCGATTTGGTATTCGAAATTTGATTTCATAAAAACGTTTACTTGCAGTTGACGTTGCATGGTGAGGTTCTTTGTGGCATCAACGCTATTCGATTTTATTTTCAGGTTCCCCCGCCTGGGAGCTTGTTGCAATTTCCGTTTTTGTAAAGGAAACACGGTTTTTATTGGATCGTGATATTTAGAAAGGCAGAATTGTTGTGAGTGCAGTTCTTCTTTCAAACGAGTTATGTAAAAGTACTTTTTACGCTTTTACATAATGTTGAATGTTAGAGAGAAGGTAAATGCAAACAGGAGTTTAACGCAATAATTTCATCGGTACTTAAATGTTTCACACGAAAGTATTGGAAAAATTGTTTGCAACGAAAAATAACAACGAACGATTTTTTTTTAGAAAAGTTCGAAAATACAGGAGATACAGAACGTAGATATGATTACAATCCAACTTGACTGGAAAACTTATGTCTTCCAATTGTTCGTCTGTAAGTGACTGTAATAATAAATTTGTAAAACAGCATTTCGACTGTTTCATTCTTTTTTTTATATAATACGAAGAATCGATTCCTCGTCCTCGGGGACAAGAGTATTACCTCGGCAATGCAGGCCCGCGCCCTCACTTCCTGGGACTTTCCCAGGGAAAAGGGGCTACTTAAGGGAGCCCCAAAAAAGGCACGAGGCCTTTTGTCGTAGACTCGCGTCGCCTACACTTCAAAATTAGGCTAAGCGTTATCGGATTCAAATACATATATTTTTACTAAACAACTTGCCCGAGTAATTACTTTACACCACGTCACTTCCAAAATGAAAAAAAAATTATTTTATTCACTAAATATTATACATATATTATACATGTATTTTTCTGCTTTCAAATTTTCCGTAAACGCATCACAAACCCCAAGTCTAACGATAACAAACACTTGAGTAATAAAATCGAACCGTCATCCAGTGTTTTATGAACATCGCTGCCGGTCTGTGAACGCGTTAATCTAACGCGCGACTCTATCTACGTTTCATCAATTTCTATGACGTTGTTTTATCGCGGAAAAATATCAACTGTAATCTAATTCCTTGAACGAGAATGCTTCGGTTACGCAACACAGCCGAGCAACCACGAACGATGAGCCAGCCAACGATCGAGCTTCGAATAAAACACGGCATGACGTATTGATGAAGATGAATGGTTTCCGGAGCTCCTCGATCCTTTGCTCGACCGTACTTCATTGATCCGGAGTGCGTGGATACACGGCGTGGCGTTAACGGTACGGTGGGATTTGTAACGCGGAAGGATGACGTAAGAGAGGTGGGCGTTTTCACCTGTCCATTCAAGGATCTTGTACGATTTAATCGGGACGAAGTAATTTGAAATTTCCGAAATGACGTTTTTCTGTGCTTCTAGGTAGATTGGGGATTTTTGTGCCAATTTATTTTTTGGGGAATGTAATTGGAAAGAAATAAATAGTAAATATTAACAGTGGGTTTAGGGGACGCGTTTCGAATTTCACGAGGAAAATTACAGATTTCTCTCTTATCACTTACGCGTATTATAAATTTTGTATAAATATATAATATCGCGTAGTTTCGTTTGTGAGTTAACAGCGTATAGTATGTTGTTTTAGAAAGATCTTGCGTGCGTTTATTTACGAAAAGTGAAGTATTTTGTGTAATACTTAAAAATATGTTTTAAAAATTTTAATTTTTTGGAATATTACATTTATTCAGATGAGATGGAGTATACGAAAAGTGAAAGAATAACGTAATAGAAATTTCAGTATTGAGAATTCTTTAAAAATTTAATTAGAAATCAGTTCAATTCAGATATTTGTTATCAATTAATCGCAGCTTATCTGATATTCAACAGAGAGCAAGGAAGTTCGAAAGCTTGGAAAAAGCGTTGAAGCCAGAGAAATTCGGAGGAGATAAATGCTTGTTCGAAAGAAAATGCACATTATTACGGTACATTAATAATCTAGCTGATATAAATGATGATTAATATTTCAACTGCGGGTTCTGCCGTCTCTCAAAACAGAGATAATTATACGTTAATAAGATTCGTTAGTATAACAGGTGGTAATGGTTCTAACGTTCTCCTTTTTCCTTTAATCATCGTAATAAATACTATTTTCCATATTCAAAGTAAAACGACAGCTGCTAGAAATCGTTAAAAAATTCTAATTACCAATCAGTATATCTAATAGATACAGCTAATATCTGATCTGTCGCGCAATGTACACAATTTTTACAACAAACTGAAATTTTCACCAGGTTTAAATTTTCAATTTTCACGCAAGTTTCTCACTGAAAATTTTCACGCAAGTTTCTAATTTACCCTTAAGAAACTCCAGTTTTACGACACGTCTTCAGCTATTGAAGGCGAACGAAATGAAATTCTACGAACTTTCAGTGATAAAAACTAAGAATTCTCCGGCGGGAAGTATACGAAAATTCAAATTAACGCGCCAAAATGTCGCGAACCCGGAAACAGAGCTTTTTTCTTCACGACCGTCATAATTCGTTTCGAAGAAACAGAAATATCGAACTTTCGTCGTTTCGAATGAACTATTATACTTAAAGCATACCAAATTATATAATAAAATGTGAACCTAGACATTAAGTCGCTAATAACCCATAAATGTGGTTGATGCGACTTTAAAGAACCAATTTAAAAAAAAATAGAGATATACATTTGCGACTGAATTCTGTGCAAAATTCCGCGCTTCGGATTATTACGATAATCGTCCTTTACGATAACTTCTCTACCGGCAAAGCGTAACACGAAACTCGGACTCTTTGAAGAACGCGATACCTAGGATTGCGGTAGAAACAAGATAAAAGTGAAACGTATCAACGATGACTTTTCCCGTTGTTCCACATCGAACCAAGCTCTCTCGCGTGTGTTTTTCCTCCTTCTCTCCTCTCTTGAAATTCATCTCAAGCTTGTTCGCTTTGTTCCCGCGGTTCGAGCCCTTTTGTTTAAGAACGGCCCCGTACTTCGGCAATGCCATCCAATCGTCCCTCATTTTCACCGCGGCGAGCTTCTTTAATTAAGCCACCGCCTTTCTCATTGTGCAGTCTCACTGCAGTCGTCGAGGATTACGCGCAAGCGTCCACGAAACTACACGTGTGTACACGCGTGTCGCAAGTTTCGCCGCCTCGAAGTATCCGCAGGATTCGATTCTCTCGTTCGAACGTTCGCGTCGCGAAGGTATAGTCGACGGAAGAAATGTGGCGGGGTAAATTGGAACGCTGTGACCGGCGATGCGAAGATTAGCAAGAGCGTTTAAAGGGAAAAGCACTTGATTTTTCGGAAATTTAAAACGAAGCAAGTGTTACGTGTATCCTTTTGCAAATTTTTGTGGTTATTCTGTCGTCTTTTGAGAACGTAAAAGTATTTTTTATAAGTGAAAATATACGTTTGTTGTGAAATAGGAGCACCGTGAAGAGAGCGCGTTGGAAAATGTCCTTTCCGATTGGCTGACTCGATATCAGACGTTGTAATTATTCAAAATACAAAGTGCGAACGTATTCTTAATCTGTAGACGTGTGGCTATCGTCTGGACTAGGATGACAAAGAAATATTGAGAAATAAAGAAATGGCAGGGTTTCGAAGAAATTGCTTTCGATTCTTAACAAAGAAAGTGATGGTTTTTTTGATCGCAAAGACTGAATTTTGGAAATAGTTGTACAATTCTGGGTCAGACGATGAAGCAACATCTAGTGAATATACCTGACAAATTTCGAGTGGATCGGACTTCTGGTTTCTTGGTAATCATGTCGGCCAGTTTCGAAAATGCTGTTTCGAGAAAAACGGCGTTTAAAAATCCCTTCCTCTGAAGGCATACATCTTTTGAGATTGTTTCAACCCGTCACAGTAGGAAGACCCCTTAATTCAAATAAATTTAAAATTTAACCCCTATGTTAATAACCGATAATTGTCGTCCACTTTAAGTAGTTTTCTCATAACAAAATTCTACATTGTTATCAATTTAATTATCACCACTCGATCGTACTCAAAAGCCGGAAAAAATTCATTTCTACACCTGTAATACACATCTGAGCTTCTATTTTCTACACTCGAAGCGTGAAATATAATAGCTTAGCGAAAATCGTTTCAAGCCCCAGCAAATTTCTCGGTGAACTTAGGTGCTTTTTTTTTTGCGAATTTATAATTACCGCAAGACTTGCTTGCATGGAGTACGGTATAATGAAATAACAGCCTGTACACTCAACTCCTTTCGGGTAAATCATAGCCGCAAGCTTGTTCAGCCTTCCTTAAAACCTAGATGGTGCTAAAGTTCGTGATAGACGAGCATGGCTTGCCACACGCAGAGCTTCCTTCTTTTTTACAAGCTTTTACATTCCATATTTATGACCCGTAAAATTTTCGGAGGTTGTTATTTACATAGCAAAGACGCAAGCATATTTTTGTCGGTGAAAAACTGACGTGTGCATGTGTGTGAACTTGAGAACGTGGTGAAAATATGAAAAATTAGAGCCTCTGGTGTAAACGGAAAATTTCTAAAAATTCTGATTTTTCTTAATAAATTCGCCAGTTTAACAGGGTCACTGCCACCGACGCAGCATGTGCGGACGAAAATGTATCGCCCAGCGTGCTATCGATTCTCTGGTGGCAGCGAACGTGTTGAATCAACGAACCATTACTAACGTAGAGCTTCGAATTGAATAATTTCCGAGTAAAAATAATTCATACTCACAATACAAAGATAATTAACCCTTTAACCTATGACAACGTGTCAGACTCGTGGCAGAGATTCTGGTGAAGATGTGAGAAAAATAGTTACTTTAGTAAGAAAAATTCATTGTAATTCTAACTTTCGTTTGAATTTCTAAGACTGAAGATTACTAAATGTAATTAATCTGTGACAGATTAGCTTTCGTTGCCTGATACCTACTAAAAAAGCAAATGGCTGACGCTTAGATGCATAGACAGAAAGGCAATCATACGTTAAGGGGTTAAAAAAACAAATTTAATCCTATCGAATAGTAACACTCGTGCAAATTTTGCAATGGCGCGAATTCAAATGCAAATCACGTTGAATTACGTTCAAGCTACGATCTACTAAACTAAAATCTACGATCACTTTAACGAGGCTGCCATAGAGAAGCTCATAGAAGATCGAAGAAGTTTGCGTTGGTGAAGAACCGAGAAGGGACAACGGGGGAGAGGAGATCAAAGGCATTTTCGAAGGAATCTCGATGCTACAGTGTGCTGGTCAACAGGCGTGACCAAGCAGTGGTGTTTTAATTAATTAATCCGGAAGTCGAGCGTAAAGCAAACGCTGCTTCTTGTCTTCTCCTTGGTCCCGCTACTCGCGAAAGAAAATTCCAGCTGCTAAGGTTACACGTTTTCCAGTGACAGTAAAAATCACAAGTGACATTTTATTTTGTCGGTTCGCAAACACGTTTTCTGATTTCTTGATTTTTCGAAGAGCTCCAAGGTGTACGGAATTTTATAAACAAATTTGGAATAACGGAACGTTTCTTGAGAAAATTTTATTCAGAGAAAAGTACGACTTGGCTTTCGAAATAGATCGTTTTGTTACACTTTTAACCCCTTTACTTATGACTTCTTTTCGTGATTACACATCTAAGAGTCAATTTTTCACCGTTTAATTACCGCATTAGATTTAAAAAAGCTGCATTTGGTAATATTCGATGTTGTAAATTAAAATGAAAGTTGCAATTGGAATTAATTTTCCTTACTAATACTTTCTTGTTTTTGTCGCATCTTGACCAGAATCTGCGTCACGAGTCTGACTCGTTACAATGCAAGGGGTTAATTACTACTCTACTTTTCATTTTGTGTTACAATTTTGCAATTAATAAATTCTAAAAAATTCTCACCTTTCTCGCGAAGCGCCTTCTTCGATTTCTCCAGTTTGTTCCACGCTTCCTCTTCCATCTTGGACCTAGCAGCAGGAAATTCCTTCAGCACGTCCAACAAGTCCTCCTTGTTTAGGACCAAGAGGTCCGTGTAGCCCACGGAGCGGACGCTGGCTGTTCGACGGTTACCTGTATCGATGTAGCCGTTTATTAGTTATCAGGATACGAGAAGCTTTCTCTTATACACGCTTAGAACCGATCAATCATTCGATCGTTCCTTAATTTCCACACACTGTTACCGTGTGAGCCTATCCTTAAACGTCGAGTGTACCTAGCGATACATCCTCGATACCATATCAAAGCACAACACCTTGGCTCGTTAGCCTTAAAAATCATGCTCGACAAAATTTCACTGGAAACCGACAAATTATGTTTTTGTTTCGTACGTATTGGTGTTTGTTTGTTCGATAGAGATTTCAGAGAGAGAGTAAGAGTATTTGAAAAGTGGCGGGAAAGTTTGTTTCCTTTTGAAATTTTGCGCTGTGGTCTCGTGAATGTGTGCGGTTTTTGAAGTGAAAAAATAGGTTATTTCGAAGAACGAATTTTTCGTGAAAATGTTAATTAACGAGTAAGTATGAACGAAAGCAGATATTGTTCGACAGTTTTGTGATTTAACCCTTTCGTGGCTAAATAGAGGAATGCATTGTTCCACTAGAGCACTCGAATGAAAATTGATCTCTAAGATGGGAGAAATATTCTTTCGATGAAAAAAAAATGGGAAAAAATTCAAAGGAAGTTTCACATTTGATTAAAAATTTTAGAGACCAAGGTATCATCTTACGGTCGTACTATTATGCACGTTTAAATGCATTTAAGTGTCAAATATGTACGTTCATGTCGAGAAAAGTATAAGTGATCTCGAAAAAGAAAAACCAGAAAAAAGTGGCATTTATGATCAAATTTTTCTTCCATCATATTCATCTTTTCGAACTGTTCAAATTGCGCATAAAAAAATTTTCTCGTAACACAACAGTCAGAGAAGATAATTAGGTGACCCACGATAAATTTTTCAGGCGAAACGAACAACGTTTCAACGTTGAACTGCTAACTTTCTATATCCTCGTCAAACTTAAAAGATTATCCTTTTAACTCTTCGTCCAACTTTACACTCGAGTTTTACACGGCGAATAAAGGAACGACGCGAAATGTCACTTTTTTCATCCTATTAGAGCGTAGAATTTTAAAGTGGGATTTCCGATTTTCGACAAACGCACGCGTCCCGCTTCCTTCTGTACTGCCACGATATGGAAATGCATCCTGATGTATATGGAAACACACCTGACTGTGTCTGTTGCACCTGCTTTGAAAGCAATCTGTCCGCAAACGCACGCGATCGATCTCCAAAATTGGGGTGGTAGAATTCGTACTTGTTTGCACTAGGAATTCACCGTGTTTACGACACGATCGCGCGAAGAATTTAAATTTTAAGATAACTTCGACGATCTTTCAACGAAAGACTAAACTAACAATCATATTTATTATTTTATATTTTTTTCATTTTTCCTTCAAACATAGGAAATTCGTCAATTTACACTATTCCTCTACCTTTAACAGTTTTCGAGATAAACTAAATTTGCCACCTCGAACTTTGAGACAAACTTTTGATTGCCGGTAAAAAAAGGAAAATCCAATATTTCTCCGAGTACTATCGTATACCAAATGTTTCGTTAATATCGATGATTATCACTTCGAGATGTTTCTTTGCAAGTATTAGATAATAACGTGTACTTAACATGTGGCGTCGCGTTCTCCTTTGATTATTCAAAATGTTCGCGCTAACGACTGTTACCCGCCAACTTAATCTTAGGTAACCAATTCGAAAATTTGTCTTGCTCGGAACGTTAGCAAATTTAGAATGCGCGACTCCGATCGCGACTCCTACTTGTGTCTCATCGAATGGCTGGAGAATGTGTTGTTCACACGAGAGAATCCTTGCGAATGTGTTTCTCGATCCCCGAATTTTTCTGGAGTCCTCCGTGACTCCCCCGCCAAGTGTAAGAAGGCACCGTTGATTGGTTTTTTCACGTACGCACAAATTACCAATCAACGTGCCCCTTGAGTGTCACTCACCCTTCCATTGCGCTCTTAGCGCGCTTTTCCTTGGAAGGAGTGGCGCCCTACCTGCGGGTGCGTGGAATCTTCGCTGTCCTCGCCAGGTCAACCCTCGGCCGAGAGTGCCGTTATACGCGCGTGTGGATTGACCCTTCAGGAATACCTGGTTTATGACACGTCTTCGGTTATCGAGGACGCGGAAAAGTCGAAATTCTAAAGGCATTGTTCTGTAAGAAATGACTTATTTTTTCGCGGAGCTACGAAGCGTCTTTGTTCTCAAAAATAACCTTCTCGTGCGAGCGTGCCATAAACCCGTTCAACGAAGACCCCATGCGTTCCGTACCTGCGCGACGGAATATAACACTTTGACGTCCGCTGTCACGTATATGTGACTTTACCGGCCGAGCGGTTTTCGGTTTTCGGCAGGCGTCACGCTGAAGTGACTGCATTTTCTTTTTTGACTGTAGAACGTGACATAAGTGGTTTGTATTCAATGTATTTTTCTTAAAAGATATATCGCAATTACACTCTAAAAGACGGCGAAAAGTGTCGGCGGTACGATCTAGGCGAGAGTCGCCTAGAAGAATGAAAGTGTTAAAGCACGATGTAAAATATTTTCGAAGTCTAAGTTTCTCAAACTTTAAGTGTTCCAAACTTCTACCATTTTACTTCGAAATGAAAATGGTAACTTATATCCTAGTTTCATATCCAAACTCCAGATTACGAATATTTTTACCATTTTTTTCCTCGAGATTACTTATCACCGTGAAAATCAAATATTTTGCCACGACACACATCTGTATGTGTAAAAAGAGTTCAAAGCATGAATGGTTTCATCGACACAGTGGTGTGGTTAATCCTGCTTCGCTTTAATTCCACTCTTCAAAATAACCCATTTCTTCGTTCTTCTCAAACGTGAATGTACTGCGTGAAATCCTTCTTCAATACCAGCCGAAACATTTACATTTAAGAAATTTCACACGTAAGTTCGAACACGAGAATGCATCCAGGTATCGTACATATGTTAACGAACTATCAACGGTGCAAACTTAATTGGCGAAGTGGTGAAAAAGGAAATAATTAACTGCGGTTCAATTGGACGCTTGCGATAGGGTAAAATATGTAAATAACAGTTCGAAGCATGCAACAATTTCGTATTGTGTACGGTTGTTAAACGCGGAGGAAATGTGAATTTATTCGAACGACCAATTAGCGCGACGCGCTTGTTAATGGTTCGAAGAGAAACGCAGTTATGCTCTTTCTTGTGTAAAAAGTGTACGCGTTAAGATTCTATTTTAATTCGATGGGAATTTAATACGTATGTACTGTAGAAACGCGAGTTACGAATTGCTGTTAATTTCGTTTCATCGGAATTAATTCTACTTTTGCGTCGTTTCTTACGGAATTATTCGCGATGATAATTGATTACCGATGACAAAATTGACACGATGTCGCTGATACTATCGAGATTATTCGCAATTGTACATTTCTGTACGGTGTTCAACGGGAAATTGTTACTTTAATTCATACTTCGATTTTCGTTTCATTTCCAAATTTCGTAATCGCAGAAATTTTTGAAAAAACTGCATTCGAAGATCCTCCGCGATGAATACTTGAAGAATATTTGAAAACAGTTCGAATTATCGTCACAACGCGTTTGTTTCTTTCACTCCTTCGATTTTCGTTTCCTTTGAAATTTCGTATTTGCCAAAATTTTTTTTCGCGATAAATATCACGTTATTTAAAGATCCTCCGTGACGAATATTTGAAAAACGTTTGAAGCATCTTCGTAATGTGTATGTTTTTTAAAAAGTATATTGCAAAACTTCAGGTGAATATTCTGTAATTATTTTCACAACAGTGCTGGGTGTTAATGATAAACAGTGTAATACAAAATACCAAGCGATTAATATTTAAGGAAGGTAGTCATATTCAATCTAAAATAGACGTAGAAAAATTTTTGCACAATTCATATTTTACAAGCAAAAAAGGAAAAAAAATAATTGCAATTCCTGACTATCCCTCCTGATTGAAAATGATCTATTTAATGACGTAGATCGCCTAATGTACAGTAAACTAACTACGATAATCAATGGTACGGACGAATACAATACGAAATCTGAGTGCAGATTAATCACATCTGTGAAATGAGCACGCATAATTGCAGCATTAAGTTACAACAATTATTAAGAGATTACGTTCAGAAATGGTAATGAAGAATCGTGAGAGGTATAGTAATACACGAACAGTGCACTCAATAACAATAAGCATACATACGCTACCGGCCAAAAGTTTCGAATCACCTCCCACTTTTCATCGACATTAAATCTGCTGCTAATTTCTTATAGATTTGAAGTTTATCTCAATTCTACTTTTATCAATTTATCTCGTACCAATTGATTCGAAGGATAAAAAATTCTCAAAGTCGCTGACTTTTTTCTGTAAATTTTTGTGTAAATTGCAATGCACGGTGATTCCAAACTTTTGGCCGGTAGTGAATATACGAACGCAAAGGAAATATTTGCCAATTTAATTATATGCAAAATTTCTTCATTTATCGTAGATTATTACTGCACTGATAACTGCTAAAAAAATAAGGTAAGTTAGCAAAATTATGTATACCATGCATCGTAGTATTTAATATAGAAAATTAAGATAATTTTGATTTTTCCATCGAATCGTACAATTTCTTCTGTACAAATTGATTTTTGCTATTAATTCTGCGGACCTGTGATATTTCACGTTTAGGAAGTTATTTTAATATGCAATATTTACACGATTTTCTGTCATCCTTTTATACCGGGTGGTTTTAGAAACTGGGCCAAGCTGTAAACTCTATTCGAAGTGAAGATGAAGAAAATTGATAGAAGGAAATGGCACCTTATTTAGTGACTTTCTATCCTTCTGCGTCGTGGTCTTTCTCGAAAGATATATCGAGGTACCAGGGAGATATGGTTTGTAATTTTTCTCATATGCTATTGTGATTTATTTTACATAAATTGAGCATTTCTTATTGTTCTGTGGTGAAATGTGTTTATCGAGAAGTGAATAACAGAATTTGATAAATGTACAGATGGAGTGTAATGTAAATGGAACGTTGATCAATTCTTAAAATGAAATTGATCAACTAAATAAACTCGAATGTTATCAAAAGTTAATGTAAAATTTTTTACAGATGGGATATACGGAGATTTTTCTGAAAATGAAGTAAATATAATAAACAAACTCAGATGTTGTCAAAAGTTAATGTAAAATTTTCTTTACACTTCATATAAGGTGTTCCAATATGTACATTCGTATTATAATAAAATAATTTTACGATATAAAATATCGTGCGTGTGAAATAATAAAAAAATTCGATTTTGTGTATAAGATATTCAGTATAATTAAAAATATACGATCGTACCTTCTAATTACGCTAATGCATCTTTAAAAAGTAAAAGATGAAATTCATGTTACGTCAATGGTGCTTTCAATTAGTCAAACTTAATTTGTACTTAATGAAAATGACATCTTAGAAATTTATGTGGTTTACATTCCATAAAAACTGAATCTATGTATTATTTAATAAATAAAATTGATGTACAATTTAAATGTATTTATTTAATCCTTTGTTTTTATAAAGTACTCCTATAAGTATTTTATCAGTCCAGTAAATGGAAAAATCAGTTCGATACCTCGAGAAAATCACACGTACGCCTCCATATCCTTAGAAAAAGATCTATTCAGCGTGAAATAAATTTATACCAAGAAATATGTGTCCAGTGATAGATAGATTGATGGAGAGAAAAATGGTTCCAAAGGAGAAATTCACTACTTTAACATCACTCTACGCTTATCGCACATCCGACAATTTAAAATCATTCATTTATTCCCAAATCCTCCATTAGCGACGTTAATAAAGTGATCAATCATGACCGACTGATGGTACGAATACTGAACACGATTCAAACTCTAATTCACCAAATCTTAAGGGATCTCTCTATTGCGACGGTCGAGAAATCAGTCGATCTTTCGGAATTTTTTGAAAGAAATCTACCAGATGGATTAATCTGAAACTTTGTACATTCATTAAAGTACACTTCCCGAATACTCGGTACTTTTTTTCGCGTTGAAATATTTCTTTATTTAAGAATGACAGCGATTCTGCCGGAGCGCCGAAAAGAAATTCCAATTCACCAAATCTCAAGCAATTTCATTTTACTTCCTCGCTTAGTTCCATCGTTCCACCGTTTTCCCTTATTTCACTGGACAGCGAAACGATAGTTTCTTACAATCGTCACGGAATATTAACATAATCGGCGATAACAATTAAAACGTGTACAGAAGAAACTGTCTTCCTACAAAAAGCTCGATGTAAAGCACTGTAATTTGCGTCTCACGCGATTACACACTGCAAATACTTCCTTCCGTCCAGTGAAGAAAAAATAAAAAAAAAAAATAAAAGAGGAGAAAGTTAAGTAAGTACACAAGTAAGTCTCAGCACGTCACAGAAGCAAATCGATCGGCGATACGAAACTACATCGTAGAAGGGAGTTATTAAAGAATGGATAAAGGGGAGCAGCAGCGTGTCCAACTTTTCAAATGGATGAATTTTTTTCTCTTCTGAACTAAGTGATCTAATTTTACTACGTAAAGCGAGGTGAAAAACAGGAGTGATTAAAAAAAAGGTGTATCTTTGTCCGGATGAGAATCGATCGACCGACACGTCCCACACTCACACACACACTCAAACACATGCACACACACACGATTGATTTTCCCTTCTGTCGCAAAAGAGAGAGAGAGAGAGAGAGAGAAAAGCCTTGCCTCGTGTATTTTCGGAATGTTCGTATTTTTATCACGGTCGAGGCCATGTTATAAAATATCATTTATTTTCGTACACGATATCCATTACGTTTCAGTAGGTCGTGTCGGTTTATCGGCTGGAAGACAATAATTGATAAAAACAGAGTGTGTGAGAGAGAGAGAGAGAGTGGGGCAAAGGCTAAAAAGGGCAATACGTGTCACGGGCCTTGTTCAAAACGCATCGACGATCTCGCAACGACTTTGTCCCATGGATTTTCTCGTTTTTTCTCTAATTCAGTTTCACTCATTATTTTGTTCGGAAAAATTGAAACAGACGAGAGACACAATTTTTGTTACACACACGCGGTCGTTGAGAGCAACGTGTGTGTCGTGGCCTCTGTGAATATGACACGGAAGGAGGAGGGAATATTTTTTTAAATAATTAGCATATATGCGAATGCATATTTATGACGAGCTTGGAACGAAATAACGGATCCCTCAATTTCATTTTTTTCTTTCCAGTTGAATCGTTGGTCTTTTTTTTATAAATTTTGTAACAGATAGCAAATAAACGAGGAAAATGAAAAAAGAGAGATTCTGTTTATCTTCGTCGGTGATTTCGTCGTTCCCTTGCGTATTTTTGTTGAGAGAAATTGTTTGCAAAATTTGTTATTTCAGCGAGATAAAGCGACATATTTTTTCTTTTTTATTCAAATAACTGCTCGAGTTTGAAGGTATTGTGTATTACTCTGAATCTGAATTTTTGATCCGTTATTTCCAATTTTTCATCGGTGTTATTGTGTTTTTATTACCGTTCATCTTTCTGAATTCACGAAATCACGATGAAATGGGGTATTTATAAAATCTGCGGGGAATAAGATGTGCGTTGAAATAAGAAAATAATCGAATCTGGAATGCAAAGCTGATTGTTTACGTAGATTAGTTAAAATGAATTTTAATCGAAAGGAAAATTGTTTCAATGAGAAGTATATAAATAATTGGAGGAATTATTCGCCACATTTTGATTTGTATTAGTCTGCCTTTAACATAAATTACACTCCTTTTTTTCCATAATTAAAATACTGTTCTGCTGTTATAATTATTACGGAATATTGAAATTGCGCTAGAAAAAATAGAAAGAAAAGTTTAATACAGTATGACGAAGTTTTAACTCGTTTCGTCAATAGTTACGCAAATTTTCAAATTTAACAAAACATTGTTTAATTATTCCGAAAATTTCAGACGTTTCAATTTTTCCTCAGTTTTTCATTAATAATAAATCTACCGAACACCTTCGAAATAAAGTAACGAATCGATCATCGTCAGAGAACTTTCTTAATTTCACCAGGAATTTCCGAGATTTGGGAAATCTGTTCGATAACAGCTAGCGAAAAGTATTCAAATGTGAAAACGAAGGGAGCTATTCAAATTGGAATAACAAAGCGAGTGTCGGTTATTCAGATTCATTGAATGCATGATAGCCATGGGTCTCTCTATATCGATACTGTACTACCGTACAATTTTTCTTTTTTTTTCTCGCCGATGTTTGCAGATGCAGGTTTAACGAAAACATTTTAAATGTTTCATCACAGAAAAGCCGGCGTTACAGATGAATTTCCATACTGTGATCAAAGTTATACAAAAAATGATCTGTAATTCGTTTCATTCCCTTGCTTGCAACAGCAAACAGACGAGTAAAACTAAAATTAATACGGTGTATTTAATTTGCACGAGAAAATGTGCGATTAACAAATTAGTGAAAACAGTGAACAGAAAAAAGAAATACACGAAAGAGTAGGAATAACGCGAGATTCACATAGAAATGGAGAAAATTTCAACTTATAGACCTTTCACACACTTACAATACAACTAACAATTTTCTTAATCTTCGAGAACGTATACTAAACTACCATTACCTTGCTACCTTCTGAAACATTTACCAGCATACCTGTATTCTTCTACTTCTCACAGCTCACGCCACATATTTCAACGCTAAGAACGACCTGCTGGGTCAAAAATGACCCATTAGCAATTTTCTCAAAGAAAGCCAAAAAATAGTGAATACAGTAATGTCTCCACAAGTGTCAGTCTGCAAGGAACCTAAACCTGACACTTGTAGAGTCAGGGACTACGTTTCAACATGTTAAAAAAAATTCCAGATGAAAAAAAGTAAAATTAAAGAAATTATATTTTTCTATTATGATTTGTCGAGCCGTGAAATCTCGTAAAGGGAACCGACTGGTGTAGAGTTACACGCTTGACTGACTGCGAGCGAGATAACATAGGCGCAGCAATGACGCAGACCTAGGCGTAGGACCGTCTATACTGACACTTGTAGAATCCAAACTGGCTGACACTTGTAGAGACATTACTGTATTCCATACATTTACAATTGTCGAACTTCATTTTCTGCCATGTACACTTCCATCTCTACCGATACGAATCTAATTTTTTCCAATCACAGTTGAGTTACATTAAAAATTCACTTCTGAAAAGTCGCCAATGGGTCACTCTCGACCCGGTCACCGATTCCAGCGTTGAAAACGCGTGGAACGTGCGTTTGTTCGTTGCGTGAACGTCGAACACGGGTTGTAGGTGGATATTCGACAATATAGGAACGTCGGTGACAGAGACAGTATGATAGTGAGAAAGAAAAAAGGAAGGAAGTTACTAGAAAGATCGGTTTTAGATCGGCTCATACCGGCTCGACGGCTTGCCCTCAGAGTGGTAAGAACGTGAAACGTGAAAACGTGATCGTGAAATACGAGGGAGACAGCTCACGGGGCCCTTGGTCCGCTTGGAATATTTACCGCACTCTTTACCTGCAGTCCCCATATTGAGTATGCTGATCTCTCCGAAGTAGGAACCAGCCCTAATTGTAGCTAGCACTGTATCCCCATTGTCAGTCACCACGTGCAGCCGGCCTTTGTTCACTATGTACATCTCCTTCCCTACCTCACCTGGAACAAAATTCGTGGCAACCTGGTTAACACCCTTTCGACTTGTGATTTTTCCAAGGATTCGCGCAAGTGAACGTTCGAGTTATTTGTTACTTCGACACATTGCCAACCGATGCGGTAGATCTACCATTTTCTACTGTATCGTTTACATAGAATATCTCGTTCTCGTTTCATCTTCGTGTTTTCAAAAATATTGTCGATGCAACGAACCATCGTTGAATTTTGCATTCAATCTTCCTAACACAGATTAGTTTAGCAGTGTTTTTAGAATTCGTTTTTGCAATCTTAGACGTCTGTTCAGTTACGATTCGTTCGGTTGGCAAAGTGTTGACAAAGCTAATGGTATCGTAGAATCCTTACAATTTGACGACTCTCAGACTTACAAATTGAAATTTAAATTTTGAATTAAAATTGATCCTTATTACTGTTATTACAGTAATTTGTGTAACTGTTTCTGTCGCACCTTCATCAGAATCTCTGTACGACTCTTTGTTATAAGGAGAGTGGTTAAAAGAGTTGTGATCCAAATATTTCACACCTGCGATTTTAACCCTTTCGTTGCTATCAGTCGCCTGTAGGCGTTTTAAAAATTTCCTAGCACTTGTAGCGCACTTTCTGAATTTAATACTTAATTTCATCCTTCACATACGTCCACCTTAATTTAATAAACCGAATTTCAAAACGATCCGGTCGAAACAATAAATTTTTCTGACGCACGTATTACTCTGTATATTTGATCGTTGGCGATTAAATTAAAAAAACAGAACACTCTAACATTTTTAAATAATAAATTACGTTAAAGACCGAAAGTAAAAGAATTTATCATTCTCGTTAAAAACAGGAGCTTTACATGGATCAGAGTGAAGAAACAAAATGAACATCGTGGATCCCTATTGTCGCAATTAACAATTACGAATTTTAATCCGTGAAATTAACGTTGGGAGAAGACATTATCGTGAAAATTTTCAGCACTAACGTTTCATTAGTACGCTTGCCGGATAATAAGGCATTGCACACCCTACTTGCATCTGTGACGGTACAAGCAGTTAGGTATTTCCCATGCTCGAGACTTCTCCCGTCTCTGTTATATTCATCATCCTGTGTCTACCTTGCTCAATTGCACTACTTACGTGGATTAAACCTACATCAAGCAACGTCAAAATCTGATTTTCTATGCATATTCCGAAAGGCACACTTACTACTTACCACGGGATTACTTCTCTTCGAATAAATTCCAAGATACACGGCGAAAGTATTGTGCACAAGTGAAAAAAGATGAAACAAGCGAACAATATTAAATTATTTTTACGTTTTAAACAGGTTTCGATAATTTTCTATATAAATATAATTGCTTAGGAATTTAAATCGAATTTAATTTTACAAGTAAATATTGTTAATTTTCAATTTTCTTAAGGTAGTTCCGTTATCTTTGTTACTTCAAATATTCACTGCTTTTATGAATAATGAGAAATATCAGTGGAAATTATTCAGTTGGAAAAATTCATCATTTTTCTACTTTTCTTTTTTCAGATTTTAAATTACCAACATATGGTAATGTATTTCTCTATATATCAAGTGTACAATGATAAATTAGTCGTGTTATATTTTTCACGATCTTTACGAAGAATTTCCAATGGCTTTAAGTGTTTTCTTTCAGAAATAGTCGAAGGTGTTATTGCTGCATTGAAAAACAGTACGCAACGTCCTTGAAAATATCGTGTAAATTCATATATTAACATAAATGTGTAATTCGTGTACACGTATGAATAATCATTAAGTGTTTGAAGTATTACTGCATAACAAAAGTTGTAACATTAATGCAGAATTGTATTCTTTAGAACAGCGTATAATACAAGTGTACTTAATGAATGCAGCAGAAAACGAGAATAAAGAGCTTTGTTTATGTTAATGCTGGTGTAGTCGCAGAAAAACTTTACAAGAATGCATCGCAATTTATATACAAGCCTTCTGTGGATTTATATAAAATAAAATAAAAATTTTATGCTACTACCTGATTCCTTTTCTGAGTTATGGTTATCTCTTTGTTACATTAAGGATTTTATTCTTTAAAGAAAATGAAAATACTTTACGCTGTTTTATCAAAAAAAAATATGGAACAGTTTCCTCATACGAATTTTTATTTCTGCAAAACTTAATTTTCAAGACAAACACTGATTAAACCTTCGCCTTCAGCCAGCCGCAAATCTAAAGTAACAACAATAATAATAAAAGAAAAAAATCTACATTTCATTTACTAATTCCTTATCACAACTCAACACTCGTCATCGATCACGATCGTCCGTCGAATATAAACTAAACAAGCAAAGTAATCGGATTAATTGCTCTTCGAATTTTTCCTTCAAATTTTCCCCTTGTTTACCACCCCTCAGGCGTACAAGCCTGAATTTTCCGCAGCAGGAAAGCTGCTCGTAAATCGAGCATCGCACGGGGCAGGCAATTCGTGCCAGTATATTAGAAGTTATAACTAGGTCGGAGGCGTTTCGTAGAGCGACGATTCTAGTCCCGACGAGAAAAGAACTTGCGAACAAGGCTACGTGATTTTCTAACTCAAGCTGACGGTCAGTATTTCCCCGAGACAACCGAGCAATAAGCGGGCGCGCCGCGCGGTTCGACTAATTCTCGCGAAATCCCCTTCGTACACGTCCTTCACGATGCCCGAAAAAGAAAGGTTGAAACGCAACAGGGTGGCTCGCGTTGTTGAAGAAAGTCGCGCGAGAAGTCGAGCGGAGGTTTGCGGGCGAAGTAGTAACGGTCGGCCATAAGTCGGATTGAACTACGTTGACGCCAACTGCGCGACAGTGATATAGTCGGAGTAAGGTCAAACTTGGATTAAACTGTGGCTGGTGGATGGGTATTCTGTTCTTATTGTTAATCATGCACATTTGTAGATTAGGTTCCTCGTGTACGCTGCTGTTCGTAGGTATTAGAGCAGGCTACAGCGTGGTTGGAGGATAATAAAATTAAAGAGAAAAAGTGCAATGAAAGGGAAAGAAAGGGAGTGCAATGAGAGGAGAGTAGGAATGGGTCAGTTAGAATTGTTGATTATAAATGTACATGGTTAGGTGAAATAGGTAGGCAAAGAATGAGTGTGTGAGTGAGAAGACAAAATGGAGGGTGAATGGATAAGGAAATAATATAAACCAAGTCCTTTTCATAGCCACGAGGGTGAAAATAAATTAATAAATCATAATAGAGTGTGAAAAGTAGTATGATTTAAATTGGATTTTTCCGAGAATGTAAATTTTTCTCGCGAGTGGTAGATTTGTATACGATGGCTTGGTTAAATTTCGTAAATTTGCAATAATTTTCGAATAATCACGATACCACGAATATTTTTCAACTGATAGCTATCATACGAGAGAAGTTGCTCTCTTTACCAAATTTTTTAAATTTGCAATGGTTTTCACGTAATGACGATACCACTTTTTTTTTTTAAATTGACAGCTATAATTATGTTTATATTATACGAGAGAGATTATTACCAGGATAAAAAAAAAAATGAAAAAGTCCCAATTTCGTGCTCATTTTCAAACTGAAAAAAAATTTGTTCCATGCGGTTAATGTAGAAGCATCTCTTCTTTCGGTATAGTAAAGGCAAAAGAGGTTAAAACGAATTTAAGGTGCAGTACACTCATATTGCAGACGCAAGTCGATCGCCAAACGGAATACTAAAATAGAGAGCTCTTTCCGCACGAACGATTGACGAAAAGAAAAAAAAAAAAGAAGAAGAAACACGCGATTTGTTTCGGGAAAGCTACGGAAAAGTCGGGTGTTCGTGGATGAAGTAGTAACGTCGGCTATAAGTCGGACTAAACGCGGCTGACGCCAACTGCGCGGCAGTGATGCACTCGAAGTAAGGTCGGCCATCAAACGGAAGCATCTAGCGCGGTAGGAAACGGCTGCTGCCACGTTCCAACAGTCATGCGGCAGTCGTTTCACAAGGACGATGAGAGACTACGGAGAGAAGGGAAGACGACGACTTCTTTTTCTGTTCATCCCTTTCGTTTCCATCCTCCAAGTCCTCCCGTTCTCCCGGGAGAAGGAAAATTATTTGCCTGGCTGCTCACGTTCGTTCGCACGAGCCACCCAAGAAATACTGACCGATCGCTGACGTATCTAACGAAAACCATTCCACGCTTCACTGGCTTTTGATTAAACCGACGATTTTATTCACTTAGATCTGTTTCGTTTCTCTCAATTTTTCGTTTTTTTTTTAGATGTGCACTTGAAAGTGATTCAAGTTACAAGATTGATTACGTAGTTTAGATATTGTGCTTTTTGTTTTGTAGGAAGAGTATCGAGATTCTGATTTAAGTTTGACTGAATTTTCATTATTATGGGATATTAGATTTCAGTGGAATTATTCGTTTCTTTTCATTTTCTCCTGTAATTTTCATAGGCGAATGTATCTGTTCTATATAGGAATTAAAGTATAAAATAATTCGTATTAATTGTTTATTGAAATAATTCAAAATTTAATTTGAAATTGAGAAGAACAGTTGGAGTTCTTGACTTCTCGAAATGAATGGAATCTTGTATATAAATTGTAAGGGTAAATGATGTATTCGTGCTAATTTCTTTCCCACGATATCATTTGAAATATTGAAATTTACGCCTCGAAATTCCAAACGTTCAACAGCGACAGAAATCTCAAGAAGCGGTCACGTCTGAGCAAGACAAAGATTGCTCGCGCTCCGTTATCAGGCGCACGTTTCGTCGCTAAACGACGAAAGCGCGAGCTGCTGAAAAACTCCCGGGGAGATAAGATTTCATAATGAAGGAGGGGAATTTTTTTTAGCAAGCTGTAGACAGTCACTCGGCTTGAATAATTCTACCGATCGGCGTTGGCGGCCGGTTATCTCACGGAATAAAGTATTTCGCTCATAACTGCGCCTTCTGGATATGCTATTGGCAACGAGGCCAAGTGGAAAGGGTAGGCAATCACTTTTCAACCCCCTGCTAGCCAGGGTACATCTCTTGGCAGGGTTCC